GGGGGCAGCAGCCTATAGATATATAGAAATGAACAGGAAGGGTCAGCAAGGGTTTTGGAAGGTAAAGCGAGCACAAAGGTAAAGTAGAAGGAGCAGAAAGGGTCAGGGAAATGAGTCAGCAAGGCAAGGAGCAATAAAACATAAAGTAGGAGAAGGAGCAGGAAGGGCCTGCAAGGAGCAGGAAGGAGCACAAAGGGACAGCAAGGAGCACAAAGGTAAAGGAGCAGAAATAATCAGAAGGAGCACAAAGGTAAAGTAGGAGAAAGAGCAGAAAGGGACAGCAAGGAGCACAAAGGTAAAGTAGAAAAGGGAGCGGAAAGGGTCTGCAAGGAGCAGAAAGGGATCAGAATGAGAAAGGAGCAGAAGGGCGCAGAAAGGTAAAGGAGCAGAAGGGGCCAAGGATAGAAAACAGTGTCAGAAGAAAAAAAAAGACTGTCAAATGAAGGAGAGGAAAAGGAGATTGGAGCAGGAAGGACAAATGAAGTGAACCCTCCACTTTATTCTGGACACCACATCATAAGGCTTTGGTACCTGGGGCTGGCAGGGAAACGCTGGACCTACTCATCTCCAAAGGTAAAAAAATATCGGTGTTAATGTGTTCACTTTTATTTACTGAGTGTCAGGAATCACAGAGTGCCATTGGGTAGGGGTGTTGCTGATTGGCTAGAGCGGTCAGCTGGCACTCTAAACCAATCAGTAGCTCCCCATTCATAAAAAAGTAAAAATATTTTATGAACCGGGAACTAGCGATTGGCTTAGAGCGTCAACTGACCACTCTAGCCAATCAGCGGCACCCATGCCTGACGTCAATCGGCACTTCCTGACACTCTGTTTCAGAAGCCAAATACCACTGAGCGACCTGGAGCTGGAGGAAGCCTTTGGGGTTAAACCATTTGAGACCGATTTAACCCCTTAAAGGAAAGCGAGCACCCAGGGGCTTCCAGGCATCTTAGCATTTTCATTTAGGTGAAGTTGTTATGGTGACCAGAAATGTCCTTTAATTTGCTTAAAGGAACACTATAGTGTCAGGAATACAAACCTATATTCCTGACACCATAGTTGTGAAAACGCTATTCACCCTGGCTTTATGTGATAATGGCTATGCCCCTTCCCTTTCATGACACTGTCAAAAAGGTACCAAGCATGGATGTCATTACAATTATGCCCCCCCCTGGAAAAATTCCTGTGGACGCCCATGGTTCACTCTCAACACTGTAACCCCCATGGATTCCTGGTGGTCGCAGTGGTGAGAGTGAACTCTAGCCCCATAAACACACTGCCCCCACACACACACCATACACATTCACACACTGCCCCCATACACACCATACACATTTACACACATTGCCTCACACACACACATACACTGCCCACCCATATACACACAGACCCCCATACACAGCCCCCCATACTAACATTGCCACACACATACACTGCCCACACACCCTACACATTCACACACTACACCCCCACACACACACTGAACCTTTCACACACATTGCACCACTGCTCCTATTCCCTACTACAGCCTCATATCCCAGCAGACCCCAGGTAAGTTGTCAAACTGTTCTTAAACGGTTTGACTACTTACTCTGGAGCAGTAGTGGTTATTGTGCATGGATTATTTCTTTAAATAATCTACAAGTGCCCCAGTAGCCAGCCAGCCAACCCACAGGCTGGCCAGTAGCCAGCCAGTTAGCCAGCCCACAGGCCAGTAGCCAGCCCACAGGCCAGTAGCCAGCCCACAGGCCTACAGCAAGCCACAGGCTTACAGCCAGCAAGCCACAGCCTGCCAGCCGCAGTCAGCAAGCCCACAGCCTGCCGGCAGTAGCCAGCAAGCCCACAGCCTGCCAGCCGCAGCCAGCAAGCCCACAGACTGCCAGCCAGCAACAGTAATTAAGGTAAGAGGAGCCAACTTGGCTTAGGTATCAGCGAGCTATGTTGTGTTGCTATATTGTGAATAGGAACCAGAGTGTTGGAGAGACCACCCTCCAGGCCCCATTAGACTCTAGCCTCTGCTAGAAATCCCCTCCATGGCCCATTAGCCCTCAATTGTAGTTTCTACTGGGGCCTGGAGGCGACTGTTTCCAGCAGGGGATATCTAATGGACGCTGAGATGGCCTCTGTTAGAAAGACCCCCTTCCAAGCCTTTTAGACTCCATTGTAGTCTCTAATGGGGCTTGGAGGGGATTCTTTCTAACACACTCTCTAAAGGACACTGAGATAGCCTCCGCTAGAAAGACCCCCTCCATGGCCCATTAGCCCTCAATTGTAGTCTCTACTGGGGCCTCGAAGGGCTTATTGCCCTTTTGTTCCTTGTGTCTAAAGATTGTGTAGGGTGTGGCTGGAGGCGGTGCATGGAGGCGGGACAAGGGTGGCGCTTGCTGCAGAGTATGGGTGGGGCCTGTAAGGGGGCCCTTGATTTATTTTGCCCGGGGGCCCTGAGGGTTCTCAGTCCGCCCCTGCCTCCCTCCCTTCTCTAATAAAGACAATCAACAACTCATCTACACTCAATACGGAGCAGAGAGATCTGATCCGGTTTCTAAGAAAATGCCAGCCTCTAATACTCCGGCTGAGTACAGCAGGGCCCAGTGAACGTACTGAATGGGAGAGGCGACCGATCTCCTGTCTCGTGGCATTACGGTCCCTGCTGTTGTAATCTCCTTGAGTGGCTTCTTGCTGCTGCACTTACCTCACCTCGGAATGCACTCCTACATACAAAATGGCGGAGATACTGCCTCATTAAGGGCACACTCTGATGTCAACTCTACAAGACCAATGTAGCCTTATTCTATGCAGATACTGGAAGCTATCCTTCACAATTTCTGGTCAATCCTGGAAGTAAGACAATTACCACCAAGGTCCCGCACTTGAGATCAGGGAAATTAGATGCAAAGTGGAGGTTGGAACGCTCTTTGGGTCCAGCTCAATTAGAAGTGATCACTACCCTCCGTATTATTCCACCTAAGCTGAAGGCCACTCAGGGTTCACCCCCTATGCATGAACCACGTACGTGGAGAATTCATCATGGAAAACAGGAACAAAGCACATTAATCCTCTGCTATCCCCTAGTGAGAATAGACTTGGACTTTGCAAGACCCCGAGTCAGTGGTACAAGGATGCGGGCCTTTCTCTTGGTCTGGTGCTACAGGGCAGCCAGACTCACTACTGCACAGTTGCCTTTGTCAACGTATTCCCAGCCTTCACTATGCCTCATTCAACTGAGGGAGTCAGCTGACTTGGGACTCTCTATTGCATGCAGCCCCTTCTAACTAACGTCTATCAACTTTTGTCTGTCAAAAAAAAGTCATCAGAATTCATGTTGTACTCAAATATTTTTAAATTTTTTTAATCCTCCATTCTCATTTATGTTGTGTTTGCTGAGGTGTTGTGATAATGTCCTCACGGACCTCCAGCGTCATATTTTCCCCATAGGAAAGCATTAGGTCTCACCCGCCGGCTGATGTTGACAGGGGAGGGGAGTAGAGAGCCTGACCCAGCGCCGAAGGACATCGGCACTGGATTCAGGTAAGTGGCTGAAGGGTCCATTAACTCTATAGTGCCAGGAAAATGGCTTAGTTTTCCTGGCACTATAGAATTCCTTTAACCCCTTAAAGGACATGTCATGATTTCCTTTTATTCCAGAAGTTTGGTCCTTAAGGGGTTAAGCTAAGGGTAAAATCAGAAGGATTTAATTTTCTTATGTTTGTATTATCTTCCATACACAATGATACTTATTTAACCCCTTAAGGACTGAGCCAAATGTACATGTGATCAAAACAAACAAAACCTGGCATTTGCGCTATATGTCTGTCCAATCATAATTCATCTCTTTCATATTAAATGCACCCACACTTATTATATATCATTTTATTCAGGGGAAACAAGGCTTTCATTTAACATCAAATATTTAGCTATGAAACAATTTAATATGAATAAAATATAAAAAAAAAAATGGGAGAAAATAAGATTTGTTTTTAGTTCTACGTGACATTCTAACTGTAAATGTCAACTGTTTGCTTTTACTGCAATAAACTACACATTTGTATTCAGCGATGTCTCACGTGTAAAACAGTACCCACTTTGTACAGGTTTTATGGGGTTTTGGAAAGTTACAGGGTCAAATATAGCATTTTACAATTTTCATTTTTTTCACATTGAAATTTGCTAGGTTACGTTGCCTTTGAGACTGTATGGTAGCCCAGGAATGAGAATTACCCCCATGATGGCATACCATTTACAATAGTTGACAACCCAAGGTATTGCAAATGGGGTATGTCCAGTCTTTTTAAGTAGCCACTTGGTCACAAACACTGGCCAAAGTTAGTATTAATTAGTGATGGCCCGAACTGTTCGCCTAACTGTTCGCCACGAACCCCCGTCAGCTGACCCATTCCAGCCAATCAGCAGCAGACCCTCCCTCCCAGCTCCTGGACAGCATCCATTTTGAAGCTGCATTCTTAGTGACCTGTCCAGGAGGTGGGAGGGTCTGGGAGGGAGGGTCTGCTGCTGATTGGCTGAATGTGGCAGCTGACAGGAGTCCGCGGCGAACCGTGGCAAACAGTTCGGGACATCACTAGTATTAATATTTGTTTGTATGTGAAAAATGCAAAAAACTAATTTGAACGCCAAATTTGGCCAATGAACGGAAGCAGGGGGACTCCCTGGGATGCCAGGTGAGTCTCCCCACCGCTATCGCCAGCGACCAGGTAAGTACATAGGACGGCGGGGACTTTCTATACTGCCCGCATTTAGAACCAGGCACCCAAGGATGGCAATAGAATGCTCGCCGTCCTTAAGGAGTTAAAGAAACACTATAGTGTCAGGAACACAAACGTGTATTCCTGACAATATAGTAAAATCACTATTTAGGTTTCCAGTACCCCTTGCCTGCCTTTAAAAAGGTGATTTTACTCACATTTTTTCCAGTGCCATGTCAGTTTCATCACGCCTGGTCCCGCCTCCATGGCTGATAACATCGAGAACATGTGACGATCAGTCAACCCGACGCTTTCCCATAAGAAAGCATTAGTAGGCTTTTGAATCAGTGCATCTATATGGGGAGCATTCTCTGCATGAAATCACTGAATGTAGGTGCCGAACTGGCCCAGGGAGCACCTCTACTGTCCGCCCGAGTGAGTGCCACTAGAGGTGTTAATAGACCGTAATGTAAACACTGCCTTTTACATTAAAAAAACCTGCAGGATCAAGCTATGGACACCAGAACTACATTAAGCAGTAGTTGTTCTGGTGACTATAGTGTTCCTTTAATGAGCTTTATGCAAGAGTTCATTGAGAAATGCAGAATCTTCATCAGATGAGGCATCAGAATCTTCAGAACTTCTTGAATCTACAGACTCTTCCACTCTATTCTTATTTTCTGAGGCCTTAAGTCCCATTCTGGCGAAAAAAATACTGTACGTAACTAAACAGGGGACAAAGTAAAAGTAGAAGGTCTTACCTTGTTAGACCTCAGTGTGAGGTGTAGGGCTGGTAAGAGCACACCTACAACAGAGCTTAACAGCAGTTGGCTGACAGGTAGTTGTGGCTGGGTTGTAAAATCTCCAATGCCTTTATATTTGAATTTGGTGCCAAAGCTTTTAGACCGCATTGCTCTCTTGCATAGTGTGCAGCGATCTCTCGCCGGAACACATCGCAACCAGTCCGTGCATACCACCTTAACAGTCTCCAAGCCATGCACTTGCGCACACACTGTTTGCAAAATAAAAAAAGTGAGTTTGCCTACCCTGCTGGATGCATTGAACATGAACATTTTGGGGGTTTTTTTTTGTCAAAGAATGAAGAAAGGATTAACCCCTTAAGGACCAAACTTCTGGAATAAAAGGGAATCATGACATGTCACGTGTCCTTAAGGGGTTAAAGGGACTCTATAGTCACCAGAACAACTGCAGCTTATAATATTTGTTTTGGAGAGTGGAATCAATCCCTTCAGGCTTTTTGCAATGAAAACTGTCTTTTCAGAGAAAACGCAGTGTTTACATTACAGCCAAAGGATAACTCCACTGGCCACTCAGATGGCTGCTAGAGGTGCTGCCATGAGCAGTGCTGCAGAAAGTGTAGTGCCATTCAGGTTCTACACTGCATGCAGACACTGAACTTTCCTCATAGAGATGCATTGATTCAATTCATCTCTATGAGGAGATGCTGATTGGCCAGGGCTGTGTTTGATTTGTGCTGGCTGTGCCCTCGATTATCCTCCTTGACAGTCTCAGGCAATCCTATGGGAAAGCATTGTGATTGCCTCACAGAATCCCTTCTGATGATGTCAGGCATGCAGGCAGATCAGGGGCAGCGGTTGCAGACTTGAATACAAGTAAGATTTTAATATATTTAGGGAGGCAAGGGGTGTTCGGTGGTTTTAACACTATACAGGTTTGTGTTCCTGACCCTATAGGGTTACTTTTTTTCTTCTTTTCATATACAGTCCTGCCTACCTATTTTGCTGCAAGAGAAGGTGATAGCCCTAGTGTTGCACTGCCTCTAATCTGGGGGGAATCTTGTTTTGTAATATGTTCATTAAGCCATTTAAATTTTATACATAATACCGCTGATTCACTAAACATAGAATTTTAGTGAACTGGAAAGATTACTGCAAAATTAGCAAAGCTACGACTATGGCATTACACCTTTTCCCCACTCCGCTACTGGGGCCTAAATGCCATTTGCAACTCACAATTTACTCTTTGGTTAATACAACCTATTGAAAAAGCATATTATATCATAAATTAGCAAGAAAGAGACCATAAATTTGTGTTTCAACTTTAAATTTAATAAAGTGACATTATTCATGGGCACAGAACAGTAAAAATGACGATGTTGCAAAGTCCCAGCATATTATCTAGAAAAGACTATGGTTTTGCGACAGGTGCACTTCTTGCACTGGCTGCAAGGGCTGCATTTGCTGCATTGTTTATTCGCATCTTTTTCAATCCTTTCTTATTGTGTTTCTTTGCAAAACGCAGATTCTTCATGAACTTTGGATCAACCTGGAATGACAAAGAAATTGAATGTCAGTTTGCAAAACACAATAAAACATGCATTTTTATTTCATATATTTTCATTTCTGGAAAAAAAAAATGGATCTAATGCTGTACATCTATATTGCCATTTTCAAAAAGATGGCATTTTCTAGTGTATAAACCAAAAGGGGAAAAAATTTTATAAAAATTACCTGCACTCTTTCCCAAATCCCTATGTATATTTAAACAAATGGAGGATAGTTACTCCAATGGTCATAAGAGGCCTACACTAGCCATTCTCCTTGCTTCCTTGAGCTTCTGGCAAAGATATCTCTAATGAGGTTGCCACAGAGTTACTCACAAAACTTTAAATTGTTATTTCAGAGAACTGTAAGTTTAAAGTATAAATTGCTAAGCAAGAAAGTTGTCTTGTGAGAAATTTCCAATTCAGTCAAAAATGTGCAGTTACCTGGTATGATCCCACACAATTCAATAATTTTTAAATAGTCAAGCTAGTCTTTGTTAAAGCAACACTTCAAACACTGTATACATTTTTCTTAGCTGGGCTTCTCAAAGCAATGTTGCCCAACCCCAATACTTCTGTCAGAGCAAGAAGATCCTGCTTAAGAGCTTCCTTTTACTCTCTTAAGCCAAGTCCTGCAAAAACAAGCTTAGCTCAGACAGAAGGCTTCCTGCTCTATGCCTGATGGACTGTAGGCAGAAGCTAAAGTGTGCTGTAGAGGTTATGGTGCGTTTAAAGTTCCTTTAAGGATGCAGTTTTATAAACTGCATGTTGGCCCAATATTGGGGTAATACATTCTAGCCAACAAACTCAACTTTAACCAATGACGATGAATTTAGTGCCTCATTTGTTAGAATATGGCAAGTATTTAAAACAGCAGCTAATGCTAAATAAGCACAACATTCCCTACTTGGCATAGGGTTTCTAGGGATGAGATGGTGATGGTAGTATTAATTATTGACCCTTAAGCAGTCAAAAATGCTGGAAACTCACCTGCTACTAAAATACAAAAAAATATTACATATGTAATATACAAATAAGGCAACACAAAGCAAAAAAATACTTACCCCCTTGAGAGATTCATATCTCTGTGATCTGGGCTTCTTAATGCCATTTCTGTGCCATTTACGAGCTGTGAAAAAAAAAGTGAGCACAATAAGTACCTACAGGCTAAAAGCTACAAACAGTTATACTAAACCAGGAGATATAACCCACAGCTATAGAAAGGTGTAGACAGCACTTTACCAGCTTATTTTTTGCAGGATAAAAATAAATAAGTCAAAGGTTTCAAGTAGCTGTGGCACCCAATACCTTCCTTGTGGAAACATGTCATTTTGGAGTATTGACTAAAGGTCCTCATTCATACATACTTTACTCACCTGAATTTTAAAAGGTACACTCCAATCACCATAACTTATTGAAATGCTTATAGTATAGGCTGGATATGAGGTTCCACCTGATTTTAATCATATCAATTTGTCTAATACTGGAGGACCAAAGCACATCCTATTTGTAGTGCAGTAATGAGGAAGCGAAATATCCAAGAGAGTAAGCAAGCTCTGGTAACAACAAATCACCATTAACCTTTTCGGCAATGCCAAATTGACATAGACTCCAGCTTGAAAACTACTATGACATGGTCATCTTGCACCATAACCACTACAATAATCTGTAATAGTGATTGTGCTTCAAGTATACCTTTAAAAGGGAACCTATAGTGCTAGAAAAACTCCAAAAACTATGTCCCTCGGAAAATGCCATGCTCGCATTAGGACTTCACAAACAGGAAAGCATTGTAGAATGTTTTCCTATGCTGTCTTAGGTTACCAAAAGTTGCTTAACAACCCGGAAGTTCCGCTAGTGGCTGTCTGGTAGACAACCACTAGAGGTGGAGTTAACCCTCTAATGTAATTATTGTATTTGATCAAAAACGGCAATCATTTTTGTATTTTATAACGGTATTACAAAATTAAAAGAAATGGCAGACCAAAATAAAATAAAATAAAATCTTTTCCCAGACTTGTTTCAGAGTATAGCATTCCGAATAAATACATTTTTAACTACTTGAGATTTGGAGGCTTTATCTCGAAATATCTGTACAAAGGATGCTCAGAAATAATTAAAGACTGAAAAATGTTACTACAACAAGATAACTATAAAAAGGTTTCATGTCTAAGTGTGCCCAAATTGTATATAAAATGTCATCTAGAACTGAACCTACAGCCATAAAAAATTGGGAACAAGACCTTAAGATCAATATGTATGGGAAAGATCCCATGACATCACATACAAATACATACATTGGGCATTAATTTAAAGGAAACGCAATATAAGGTACACAACAGATTGTACTGGGTACCAGCAAGAACGGAGAAATTGAAAGATAGTAGCGGAGATTCAGATATTTACTGTTGGAGATGCGGAAAAGACAAAGTAAGTATGCACCCTCAGGGCACTATAGTGGTCCTTTAAGTAATAAGAAACTAGAAAAAAAAGCCCAGAACTGGCACTACTACATTTAAAGATGAATAATACTGAAAGATATCCTTCATATAATTTTACATATACTAACTGGGGTAAAACTAAATGATTGCAAAAAACTGGAAAACAAGTAACATTCCTAAACTGGAGACATTAACCGAACAAATAATCTGGCAATGGAAAAGGGCTGCCAAAAAATAGAACAAACAAAAAGATCTTGGAATTTTGGCTAAAAATAAAATTATATATATATATATATATATATATATATATATATATATATATATATTTACAATCAGATACGGTTAATAAAGATATTTCTCTGTGACTCTCTCAAGGGATATTTAGGTGACTGTGTAAATGTAAATAAATTAGTAATTTATTGGTGACTCTACTTTATAATTCTGAAAGCAAAAGGGTAAAAAAAGAGAAAGGAAAGGTAAGGAAAAAAGTTAAGAAAGGGAAAAAAAATAAAAAAAGGGAACAAGTATGGAAGTTACTGTTATATAGGACATAAAAGGGCACTTGCAATTATTTTGTGTTTATGTTTTTGTATATGAGAAAAATGCAATAAAAAAACCTGCAATAATTAAAATTGTAAGGTTAAGGGGAATGGGACAGTGCACCCAGACCACTTCAATGAGCTGAAGTGGTCTGGATGCCTATAGTGCCTATAGTGTCCCTTTAAATTATACATTTATGCAGAGTAATCTATCACAATATTTTTTTAAAACTCAGCTTTTCATCAATTATTGTGCATAATAAAAATACTCACATTGGTTGTGGGTGGTGTGATTCTTGGACTTTGCCATGATCAATCCTGTTAAGAAAAAAAAGCCTTAATAATGCACAGTGAAAATATACAATAAGCCACATAATGTTCTTCTATTATATGCTTATCACAAACTGTTATATGAGAAAGTTTAAATATTTTCAGAATACTGCTTAGTCCTCCGGCTAAAGTGGTAGAGATTAACACAGTAAAGGACTTTAAGCATGCTTGGGAAAGGCATAAGGCTATCCTAGATATAAGATAAGGCCAGGGACTAATGAAAGTATTTAGAAAATTGGGCAGACTAGATGGGCCAAATGGTTATCTGCCGTCACATTCTATGTTTCTATTAAAGGAGTATTCTATAGCATAGATGCACTTATTCCATATTATGGAATTCATGCATTTAAAAAAAATATATAGCTCAAGACTTATACATAACATACATGAAGTTTAGTGTGTGTGTAACAGAGATAGATAGATATATATATACACACACACACACACACACACACACACACACACACACACACACACACACAATATAGTTGTGGTGGGGAAAAAAGTGTGGATGAAAACCCCTTCCACCTGAAGTGGATAGTTAATACAATGCTAAACACAAATACACACACCAAGTCAAGCCATACGACTTGCTTTTCCCACAGAAATCTCACTTTAACAGTGCTCTCACTGCTGCAAGGGATTCTGTTTAGGTGTATGCAAATGAGCGCAAAGAAAAAAAAAAAAAATATATATATATATATATATATATATATACATACATACACACACACTTTTAGATTATCGATTTTGCCATTTGGATTTTAATTCACTGAAATTCAAAGTTTAACAACCCAATTTGTACTTTTTATACAACTTTGGGTTTTGTGCTTATTCTCTCACATCCAGAAATCACATATACACCTTGCCTTAACTGTAAACAAATATATAAATACACATATATAAACATGACATACATGTCATTGTAAAATTCCTGAAATTAGTAGTAAGTAGCTCCCATTACATTTCCAAATCATGGGTACCAAGTGAATGCCAACTTACACTGAATGTATTAAGTGCTTATGTTCTCCAGTACTTAATCTGTTTAAAATTAGGAACAGGGCATGTATCTATAAGCAAGAAGTGCAAGCATGATGTCAAGATAAAACTGGCTGTGGCAGAAAGTGGTTTCTTTTCCTTCCATTTAAACTAGTCGGGGTATTGCAGACATTCTGATATAACTACATCTGATCAATAAGATCAAAAGAACTTCAACTTCGTAAAAAAATAAATAAATACATAGATGGCCCCACCAGAAATCTCCTGTATAATACACTTAGTATTAAGTATTATCAGTACTCTATCATAGATACTGGTTCATATTTTCTAAGCAGAGAAGGCTACTATTTCATCCATTTATACAGATTAAAAGCCATAAATACACCACTCTCAATGACCCTCTGGCGCTCTACGTGGTAACCGAGCCCAGTTCGTGCCGATATATCCCCCATTAAATGAGGATGGAATCGGATAAAATAAATCATCCATGGCTTCGAACACTCACCACTACTCCAGCAGCGAGATTCACAAACCGGAAGAGAAAGAACGGCCCCAATGCACGCCGGGATGTTACTGGATTTGGTGCAACGCACGCATTCCCCTTTTCAACTAAGCACTCTGAAAGAAGGTTCCGGGGGTTATACATAGGAAGCATTTTTTTTTATAGTTTAGTGAAAGAAATGTTATAACTTAAAGGACCACTATAGTGCCAGGAAAACATACTCGTTTTCCTGACACTATAGTGCCCTGAGGGTGCCCCCACCCTCAGGGACCCCCTCCCGCTGGGCTGGATGGCGAGGAAAGGGTTAAATCTTACCTTTTCTCCAGCGCCTGGTGGGGAGCTCTCCTCCTCCTCTTCGGCTGAATGCGCATGCGCGGCAGGAGCTGCGCGCGCATTCAGCCGGTCTCATAGGAAAGCATTCACAATGCTTTCCTATGGACGCTTGCGTCTTCTCACTGTGATTTTCACAGTGAAAAGCACGCAAACGCCTCTAGCGGCTGTCAATGAGACAGCCACTAGAGGCTTTAGAGGCTGGATTAACCCTATTATAAACATAGCAGTTTCTCTGAAAACTGCTATGTTTATAAAAAAAAAGGGGGTTAACCCTAGAGGGACCTGGCACCCAGACCACTTCATTAAGCTGAAGTGGTCTGGGTGACTAGAGTGGTCCTTTAATATGTTTTCTACAGATGATAACACACTATATGGGTTGTAGTTACTCGCCAATATCAAAGATATTAATATCCCATGTCACATAAAAATTAAATCATATGGTATAAATTTGCAGTGACAGACTCAATCTTTGTGGATATTGCAATATTTGTTTTTAAGTTTTATGTATCAATGGGCCTTCGAGGGTATCACAAAACTATTGCACTGTTATTGGTTTTATTTGGAGTTGTTTTTGTTGTTGTTTTTTTTAGTAATTTAATAGTGGTATATGAACGTGTCGCTGACACATTTACATCTAATTATATGTGAACATTTGGTGCAATTTATTACATCTGTCAAGTTGTTTTTATTCTGTCGCATGCCTTGCATCCTAACCATCATGCTGAATAAATGCAACTTTTCCCCTCAGTATATCCCTCCCCACAGCTGGATCTTCAAGTGAACATGTAATTAAACCTTTAACTTAAAGGGACACTGTAGGCACCCAGACCACTTCAGTTCATTGAAGTGGTCTGGGTGCAATGTCCCATGTCACTTTGTTAGGGAAATCAAACCAAGCGTTTGATGATATCCTGAGTATCGGCCCTCTCCAGATTTAAAGGATTATACTGCGTGCATGCTTCCCAAGTAATTCACACCGGACACAAAGTTCTGGTTAATAAATCAGCTGAGGAATGTTTATTTTTGGGGGCTGGACCCCCTTATAAAGCACTAATACATCATATGCATAATTACAGATAACAGAAAAGAATACATCAACAATTGGTTAGGTGTTAAGTGGTTTTAGTCAAAGCACGTCCTACTGATCATAACGTCATGCCGTGGGACTAGTGTCATAAAGTTCTCCCCCAGATTTCAGCGCCATCTTGTATACTGTCAACAGGAGGAGTAACTCATAGCGGCCATATTGAGTGTGTGAGTTTAGTTAGTTTAAAGGACCACTATAGTGCCAGTCAAACATACTCTTTTTCCTGGCACTATAGTGCCCTGAGGGTGCCCCCACCCTCAGGGTCCCCCTCCCGCTGGGCTGGATGGCGAGGAAAGGGGTTAAACTCACCTTTATTCTAGCGCCGGGAGGGGAGCTCTCCTCCTCCTCTCCTCCTCTTCGGCTGAAAGCGCATGCGCAGCAGGAGCTGCGTGCGCATTCAGCCGGTCTCATAGGAAATCATTTACAATGCTTTCCTATGGACACTGGCGTCTTCTCACTGTGATTTTCACAGTGAGAAGCACGCAAGCGCCTCTAGCAGCTGTCAATGAGACAGCAACTAGAGGATTTGGAGGCTGGATTAACCCATTTATAAACATAGCAGTTTCTCTGAAACTGCTATGTTTATAAAAAAAGGGGTTAATCCTAGAGGGACCTGGCATTAAGCTGAAGTGGTCTGGGTGCCTTGAGTGGTCCTTTAATTAAGTAAATAGGCATTTTACTAAATTGTCTATTATGTCCTTAACAGTCCCCCCTTAAAATGACTATTTACGACAACTAATAACTGCCCCTATACTGTCCCTAGAGGAAAATAACAAACGTCTTAACATGCTCATCCGTCTGTCCAGGCCTCGAACGCTTCACTCCGTGGGTATCCCGCAGTGGCTAGCCCACTACATCTCCCACATCATACTTCTGCCTGTACAGATAGACGCTATCCCTATATTGTCCCTATAGGGAGGTGATCTCATATTTGGTACGATGGGATTGTAAGGGTGTATGTGGCATCTCACAGATCTCGTCGTCGATGTCTTGATGGAGCAGAGTTGGGGTGATGTGATTGACGGTCTGACCTACTGTCCTCTGTAGATACCTCTGTACACACGGAACCACACAGCAGACAAGGATACCGAGTAACAATTACACTGTCAAGACTGCCATTCCCACTTGGAGAAGAGTCTTCTGCCAACCATTCAAACCAATTATCCCATGGATTATTAACCCCTGAGTTAAGTTTTAATTCTTCTGAGAGATTTTCTAGTTTCTCTATAGCCATGGTTACCTTACCATTTGGGCCAGTATTGTCTGGTATGAAGGTACAACAGGTCATAGTATCAGGAAGAATCTTACAAACCCCCCCTTTTTCAGCCAATATCATATCCAGGGCTATCCTGTTTTGAAAAGTCATTTGAGAGGTAGCCTGTAACTGTTCCGCCAGGCCCTGGAGGGCATCCCTGGTATAATTAACAAACTGCTGTTGATTATAATAAATGTAGTTTATCCAATTTAGATTTTTATTGGTGGTGACTATCGTAAGTATAGATTCGAACCCTGTTACCACCTCGTCTCTTGCTTTAAATTCATTGGGAACCACCCTTGGCACTCCCACAGCATCAATATAGATGTGTGGATCAAAACTGCCTTTTACGGAAGCACCACACTTTACCCGGGGATGTATCAGTGATGTGTTTTAGAAACCTTGGTGATTATCTGATATTATGTGAATTGGTATTATAATCTTTGCCAAGGTACACTCTCTCCACCATGGACCTAACAAACGGGGTCTAAGTTTCATATCACCACAAAGCCAATAAATAGCACCCAGGGATCGGGTCTCTCTGGTGATTAGATGGATTGGGGGTTCCCGGCGAGTAGTACAATATCCCGGAGGAAACGTTCCCATAAAAACACCTGACTTACCCTGTGTTGTATAACATGTGTAGTTACCTGGATACACTGTGACTCCATCAGGTGGTTTGGTATCCTTCTGGATTAGTGGATATGCTTTTTTCCATGACTCACATATGTCTCATTATTTGTCTGTATGTAAAGGCTTAGGAAACAGTTTTCTACCTCTGGGGGTAGGTTCAAGGGTACAGTGCCTAGGTGGGGCCTAGCACCCCCACAGACATAACAGTTTGTTTTATTATGAGAATTTGCGTTATACCTCATCCATTCGAGCCATAGGTTGATGTCTGAGAAACCAGTCTCCACCGCCATTGTGTCTTCGAAGGTGGGGTAAGCTATTGCAACCATGTCTCTAAGAGTCTTAATATGTGGTTTAAGAGGATTGACAGTCATGTGTTGTGTGTCTACCTATTCAGGTGAGTTGTACATGTCTTGTAAGTAAAATGTGCCTAATGTGTTATATGAACCACCCCCTTCCAATACATACCCATAACATATTCCCCAGCATCCCCAGGACTAGGATGTTCAATATTCAGGATTAATTTTATAGGGGTTGATCCTGTCGGTTTACGTATAGTCATCCTGTCTGAGTGATTTCCCAGTTCTGTCCAATTTTTGTAAGGCACTCTGTGGTCTATAACCCCATCGTCGACCTGTATTCCAACCTACTGCTTTCCAAGAGCTACAGTGATGTCCCCAATAGTCACTCGTCCTTTTTGTTAGGTATGTCTTTGTATACTGCTGAAAATAAAGATTGTGGGAATGTACAAGAAACAATATCACAATAATCAAATGTGAAGGTAGCGACATGTGTGTTAGATGAGTTGTACCAAAATGTGTAAACATGATTATCTTTGGTGATTGCAACCTGTTGGGCCTTTACCAGACCCACTAGCAGTGTGAGACATTGGAAACTCATGTTGTGGCTGGGTCCATCCCCTCTTGAACCTTTTTACAATGGGATGCGTGTATCCAGTTGGTCTGCTAGTTTCACTGAAGTAGAGGTAGCCAAGAGAACCTGGAACGGACCATCAAATCTTGGTTCTAAGGTGTGCTTCCTTAGGAATTTCTTTACCAGAACCCAATCACCAGGGAGTAACTTGTGGGAGCCTGTGTCAGAATCAGGATCTGGAATGGAAGAAAACACTTGTGCATGGATTTTCATTAAGGCATGAGAGAGGGCAGTTACATAATCAACCATTGCATCAGATTGTATTTGGAGTTGCTGGGGGAAGTAACAGCCTAGCCTAGGAGCTGAACCGAATAAGATCTCATATGGTGACAGGCTAAACCTCCCTCTAGAGGTGTACCGGACGCTAAATAGGGCTATGGAAAGACTCTCTGGCCAAGGTAAGTTAGTTTCTTGGGCCATCTTGAGCATTTTGGCCTTTAATGTGCCATTCATGCATTCTACTTTACCACTACTCTGTGGGTGGTATGGTGTGTGAAATGCAAGGGTCACCCCCAGTGCTGCCCAGATCTCCCTAGTCAGTGAGGCTGTAAATACAGGTCCTTGGTCGCTTTCTATAACTTCCGGGACTCCGTAGCGACAGACGATTTCGGTTAACAGGCGTTTGGCAGTGGTTTTGGCAGTTATGTTAGCCACTGGGTAAGCTTCCGGCCATCCCGAGAACTTATCCACAACGACCAGCGCATACTCGTACCGGCCACTTCTCGGCATTTGGATATGATCGATCTGGATCCTCTGGAGGGGATACTGTGGCTTTGCTAGATGTTTTGGTGGAGTTTTAACCATTTTTCCAGGGTTGCATTTAGCACAGATGATACAAGACCTGCAATAGTTCTTGGCAAGTATAGTGATGCCTGGAGCCTCGAAGTACTTGTCAATCAAGAAATTCATGAGACGTTTAGACAGATGGGCTGCACCATGTGCCCATTGAACAACTGCTGGGTACATGTTCTTAGGCAGACAAACCTTAAGTTTTATGGTATATATACCGTCTTGGAAGGTAGCTCCTTTATCTCTCCAGCTTTGTCTTTCTTCCAGAGAGGCTGCTTCCTGTTGCTCCCTCAAGAGTTTAAGATCTGTGGGTGGGGTTTGCATGGTATACAAGGAGGTCTCCGTGGCGGACACTCTTCTGTCCACTTCCCTAGACTGTCGTGCCGCATATTTAGCAGCCTGATCCGCTAAGTAGTTGCCATGGGCCTCTTCAGTATTCAACCTCCCATGGGCCTTTACTTTCAGAATGGCCACTTCCTCCGGGAGTAACAGAGCATCCATCAACAGCTTGATAGCTTTTCCGTGCTTGACTGGTGTACCTATAGCTGTGAGGAAGCCCCTAGTTTTCCAGATCAAGTCGTGTGCTACACCTAGAGCGTATCTTGAGTCGGTGTAAATGTTAGCACGTTTTCCTTCAGACATCTTACATGCCATTGTGATGGCTGTTAATTCAGCTTCCTGAGCAGACACAGTTGAAGGGAGGGAAGAAGCAGATCTAGAACCATCCACAAACAAGGTAAAGTCAGGATCTGGTAAAGCAACCTCATGAACTGTGGGGAGATCATGAGGTGCGCCTGTGTCTTGTTGGGTTGGAGGAACATCTTCACTTATCTTCGTATGATATCTGGGGTAGCTGACAGTTTTGCAGTTCACAGCTCTTTTGGTGACTCCTTCCGCCGTGAGTTGCTCAAGACTAGCTGCACTCCAGGCTTTTGTTAATGGACCGAGTTCCTTCCACGAAATGTCTGGTGATTTAGTTAGGGATACATGTGGGACTGACACCTCCCAGTGATGGAAAAAGTGACTCATCTCCATAGGAAGCTGGACCAAGACCACATTGTTACCCTTTTTGTCACTTAACAGGTCCGTTAAAAGAATACGTACTTCCACCAGGTTGAATAGTTCCTCTTCATAGTGTGGATCAGTTAGTGTGGCCCAGGGGTATTTCGGAACCATGGGGTACAATGTGTCACGGTTCTCGCCACAGCAAACAGACGGCCAGACGTGGTCTCCCAACAAGAGACTTGAACCGGGGAACTTCGCAGTCCTGGTCCTGCTTCCTTCCTCTGAGCCACAGCAGCTTTTGTATTCCACATGTCATTCTGGTCCTGTTAATCCTGGCATGTCTATTACTCTGGGGGCTGTACCTTGACTTTGGATGTGTCAGGAAACTGACAGGGATCCAATACGCAGAGTGCGCACAGAAGGAGGTACGTATACCGGACCTTAGAATGGCCGGACTAACGTAAGGACAAGCAAGAATAGTCAAAAGGTAAGCCGAGGTCAAGGGAGCCGGAGGACAGGTAAGCGAGATACAAGCCGAGTCAAAGGAGAGGAGAGGACAACAGGACAAAAGACAAGCAAGGGTCAAAACCGGAAACACAAGATAAAGAACGCGCTGAGTGACTAGCAAGCTAGAACCACGACAGGGCAATGAGCAGTAGTAAAGGTTTCCTTTAAATACCCTGTACCTAAATAGAGACCACGCCCCCAAAAGGTCCGGAATAGCGGTTCCCGGCACTTTATGCAAATGCCGACGTCATGACGTCGACGCTAGCCGTCGCGTCATAAAAGGGGGAGGAGCTAGCGCGGCCGGCGCGAAAACGGCCGGAATATGCCGAAATGCTAAGGGAAGGGAGCCCCTAAGCAGAGAGGATGTCCTCCCTGGATACATCACCAACAGGTACCCTGACAGTACCCCCCCTTCTAGAAACGCCCACCGGGCGGATGGGACCTGGCTTAGAAGGAAAACGAACGTGGAAGGCCCGAAGAAGACGAGGAGCATGCACGTCTATACCAGGAACCCAAGACCTCTCTTCAGGACCATAACCTTTCCAGTCTATGAGGTATTGCAGCTTCCCCCTAGAAATACGAGAATCAAGGATGGACTTGATGATATATTCCTCCTGACCATCCACACGGACCGAGGATGGAGGAGCAGAGCGGGAGGAAAATCTGTTACAAACAAGAGGTTTCAATAACGACACATGAAAAGAGTTAGGGATGCGTAGAGTAGGAGGTAGATCCAGCAAATAAGAAACCGGGTTGATCCTCCTCAGTACCCTGTAAGGACCAATGTAACGAGGAGCAAACTTCAAGGAAGGAACTTTCAGGCGAATGTGTCTGGTACACAACCAGACCCTATCCCCCGGAGAAAAAATAGGAGCAGGACGTCTACGCCTATCAGCATGTGACTTAAACACCGCGGAACTACGTTCAAGAATTTGTCGAGTCTGATCCCACAACTTTCTCAGGTTGGCTATATGAATATCAACCGACGGTATACCCTGGGAAGGAGACACCGACGGAAGAACAGTAGGGTTAAAGCCATAGTTCAAGAAAAAGGGGCTATTACGAGTGGAACCACAAACAAGGTTGTTGTGAGCAAACTCCGCCCAAGGAATCAGACCGACCCAGTCATCCTGGTGTTCAGAAACAAAACAACGTAGATATTGCTCAATTTTTTGGTTAGTGCGTTCGGCTGCTCCGTTAGATTGGGGATGATAGGCCGAAGAAAAATTCAGTTTGATGCCCAACTGTGAACAGAAGGATCTCCAAAAACGGGAAATAAATTGGGAACCCCTGTCTGACACAATCTCATTGGGAATACCATGTAAACGGAAAATTTCTCTAGCAAATATCACGGCCAGTTCGGGGGAGGACGGAAGTTTAGGCAAGGGAACGAAATGAGCCATTTTAGTAAACCTGTCAAGGACCGTGAGGATAACTGTATGCCTATTGGAAGCTGGTAGATCAACAATAAAATCCATAGCCAAACAAGCCCAAGGTTTGTTGGGAACGACTAAGGGCTGCAATAAACCACAAGGGAGATCCCGCGGAAGTTTATTCCTGACACAAACATTGCAAGCCTTGACAAAGTCTTCCACATCCCTACGTAAACCGGGCCACCAGAAGTCTTTGGAGATCAGGCAGTAAGTTTTGTGGATGCCGGGGTGACCAGCGATCTTGCTATCGTGGAAACAGCGAATAATGTCCACTTGGAATTTGGGAGACACGAACAAGCGGCCCACAGGAGTACGTTCGGGAGCAAGAGATTGTTCGTTCTGAATATCAGCGAGCAATGGAGAGTGTATTTTGACATTGGTGTTGGCGATAATATTGACTTCAGGAATAATAGGGAACAAAGTATCCTCTGTAGAGGTGGTAGGTTCGTGCTGACGTGACAAAGCGTCTGCCTTAGTGTTCTTAGAACCAGGCCTGTAAGTAAGCACATAATTAAAGTGTGTAAGGAACATAGACCAACGTGCCTGCCTGGCAGATAATCTTTTGGCCTCCCCCATATACGATAAATTTTTGTGGTCAGTCAAGATAGTAACTGGGAGGACGGTGCCCTCTAACAAATGTCTCCATTCCTTTAATGCCATAATGATAGCTAAAAGTTCTCTATCACCAATGTCATATCTCCTTTCAGTGTGTGATAGTTTCTTGGAAAAAAAACCGCAAGGGTGCAGCGGCTTATCTAAACTTTGTCTTTGGGATAACACTGCGCCTATCCCTGTTTCAGACGCATCAACTTCAAGTAAAAAGGGTAGAGAGGTATCAGGATGAACTAATACAGGTGCTGAGGCAAAAGACTGTTTGAGCGTTTCGAAAGCAGATAAAGCCTCAGTAGACCAGGTTTTGGTATCGGCTCCTTGTTTGGTCATATTAGTGATAGGAGC